GGGCGTCAAGATGACTGAAGGTGCCGCGGGGGAGGGGCATTTCGGAGGGGGCGGGGCAGGGTCACCTTGGAGGGGGCCCATGGGCCTGATGCAGTGGCAGGCGGCCCAGCACCCGTCGTGCAGCACTAGGTGAATGTGGCCCCTGACTTAAAAACTAGACAGCGGAGCCGTTTGGGCAGCGAGGCGCCGCCGCGTTTCCCGGTCTGCCTCTATCCAGAGCCCGCGGGCGGTGAAACCCGGCATGTCCAGAGCGGCTCGGACCAAGCGTCTCGTTCCTAACCCGGGCAGGCGGGCGGGGCTGCGATGCCACGCAGGTCCTTCGGACACAGGCGCCTGCACGCCCCGTCCGTGCCGGTTGGTAGCTTGTTTCTCACTGCCAAATGACCAGGATCAAAATTCCCTGGGAAACGAGGTCTCTGCACTTATCGTTTGCTTTAAATAAAACCTTTAGCCTGCGCTTGATGCTAACGAGGTGCATCTCCGTTTGTTTTTAAAGTGTTGTAAAACAGTACGTAAATGAAGGTAGGGAAAGTTATGCATAAAATGAACGTTCCTGATAACTTGGTTGTGCCGAGGGGTAAGACGGAAATGGAAAACTAGAATGGTGAAGCTCTTGGATCCAGTAGATAAAGATCATTGTAATAGTAACTGTTTTATGGCATAGCTAATGTGACTGAAAGTCTTCAATAACTTATTTTGATTTGATTCCAAGGAGTGAAACAAGCACTGTGGCTAACGAAGACAAAGTTAATGAAAGGCTTACCACCAAAAGTGCTCAGCATCATGGACGACCCGGCCAACCAGCTAGAGAACCAGGACGAGAGGGTACGAAATGCCATCTTTCATGCGTGTTTCTGGGCTACCACAGAAGTTGTTCCTAGGAGAAAAACTTACTGGTAAGTAATCAGAGTGAAAGAGAGCTTTAGTTGCACTGTCATTTTTATGGTTTTGCTTTAGCAGCCTGTTAAAATAGATGCCTGTTAAATAAGATTTTTTTTTTTTGTAATGTTACCAACAAAACTGTAAATTAGTTTACCAATTTAACTATAATGGTGTATAATATACAATATATAAATATTATATACAGTACAATATATTATAATATATTTAACTGTAAATTAGTTTACTAGACAACCACTTAGGGGCTGGATGTACAAACAATTTATCTTGGGGTAAACGGGGGGGGAAATGAGACTTCTCTACATATCAGCTCTTCCATGATAACTGATTCCCACCTAATAAAGAATACCAGTTGGTCTAACAATTGATAGTAAGCATTATTACTGGCAACTAGGGACTGCAGCTGGTTTGTCAGAAGGACTTAAGTATTAAACTCAAATCTGCATTAATTATTTGGAGATATTACATATTATACAGATGGGTGTTTCATAGCCTAGCTGTGTTCGTGTACAGGAAACATCTTAGGACTTTCAAATCTGATTTTATACAACTAATCCTTTCTATCATTCTGAAGCCCCATACTCCTGGAAGACTTGTTGCATTTATGTAGGACAATGACTAGCAAGTTTCCATCGCTGTCTAAAAGGATGCTGGGTAGAAATTATAGACTGACTGCTACGTGGGAGAGAGGTTAGTAACTTTTTTTGTGTAAAGGACTTGTTTTTCTCTTTCTTCTGGCTACCTCTATTAGGTAACATATAAAACACTAGCTTTTAGGCCAAAGAATGGAAAGTAGGTTCAACTTTAATTCCATTTTATTTTTTTTCTACTATGCCATAGGGCAAACGAAGTTGAGGAGGACTAGTCCCCATCACCCTTTTCTTGATCATCATTTACTGTTTATGTGCAGGAAACCTACATGTCTTTATATTTTTATCTCCATTTCCTGCAGTTCAGCTGCTATTTAACATTTATTTATTTATTTAACATTTATGAGGGACTATCCCTTGCCAAATGGGCATTCTTGCAGGAATGCTCTTGTCCCTCATGGATCTCTATGGAAAAATCAAGCCCTTGGCTGACTGCTGGATAGTGTTTGAAACCTTTCAGAACTGAAGCTTTAGGAACTTTTTGCTTTGGATGGCTCTTGTGGTAAAATCACTAAAGTAGTAAAGAATAAATAGTAATGTCTCATTGTGGAGTCCGTGTGCATTAATGACCTAAATAAAACCAGAAGTTTCTTTAGCTCAGGTTTGGCAACATTTTTGGGCAGAGCCAAAAACACCCTCAACGTTGACTTAAAGTGCTGGTGTGTCAGGGGTGGACGGCGATCTTTGTGGCAGCGCAGCCCTGGTCCCTGCCCCACCATGCTCCCCAAGGTACACATGCCAAGCAAAATGCCTTTGCATGCTACATTCTGGTAGCTGTTCCAGGGGTTGTCTTCCCCTGTTCTAGCTAGTTTTATGTATAATTTAATTACTTGTACTATATGTGGCTACTGTTCTTTCTTTACAGAATCTGTTCTTCTTCAGGTTCGCGGCTTGAATGGAATACTTTTGAATGCCATAAATCCAATACAGCCAGTAGCCTCCAAAGATGAAATATTAGCCACTGAAAACTACACTCTTGAGTCCTTCTATCCCATCTCACCTACAATTGATCTGCAGGATGTTAATATATATGAAGAAAAAAATGATACAGGTACAAGTTGCTAATCAGTTATGTAACAGTTTTACATCAGCTTAACTGGCAGCACTCTGCCTTCTGTTAGTATGTGGTATAAGGAAATGGGAAAGATGGTTGTAGGGTGCACAAATATAAATAACCATAAGTCTTTCATGAGTAGTCAGGTTCTTAGGCTTCTCATGCTGTAGGGGAAAACATTAATTCATCCAAGTTACATTAGCAGTTTCTGAAGAGAAAGTTAAAATGGGCTAAGATTATACCTAACACTATGTGTATCTCATGTGGTTGTCTACAATTTAGGTTTTAGGGAGGATTATCCATATCCTTATCCTCACACTTTGTACTTTATGGAATCAAACAATCTTCGTCCTCATCGCTTTAGACCAGAACCGCTCCAGGCTAAAATGATGATGTTTGCTTTTGGCAATGCATTAGCAAAGGCCAGGATTCTGTATGGGGTACGTATTTTAAGTGGCTGCTTTTAACAAGTTAGGCTTCAGTACTTTTACAGAGGTTATTGTACTGGGTTGTCAGTACAAGGTCAATGGTTGAAGTTGGTCATCTTGTACACCAACAGCAACAAGTTTGCTTTCAATAATAGCTGTTCCCCATCTCTTCCAAAATTGAGAAATGGTGTAATGGTCTCGTAATTGGCCCAGGAGATGGAATTATTGAATTCCATGCAGCTTTACTTGGTATGAAGACAGAAGATATTAGAGGCTGGTCCTCAGTAAAGACGGTGACGGGACCTTCCCCCCGAAGTCTTGCTCTTACCCAAGAATTATCAGTGCTGGTAGGAGTGGGGTATTGTTACTTTTTGCCCTCCTACCTGCACTCGTCAAGAATCTATCCGCAGGTAGTCTGGACCTGCTTTTGGGGCAGCTCTGCATCTGAGATTTCTGGCTCACTCTGTAGGTTCTACTAGATAGTAATAATTTTCAGTCACAGTTGACCTAGGTTGAATTTGAACCAGTGACCTAATAAGCAAGAGACTTTCAGTGCCATTAACAGTTCCTTGTCACCATATCTGAAACTCTGCCCTGATGTCACCTATCCAAGGACTTTGGAGTTTTATAGGTAATCTTTAAAGATGTGTTTAGCTATCCAAGCAGTTCACCAAATCAGAAAGCTATCTCGTTATGCCAATAGCAATTATTTTAATGCGTTCACGAAGATGATTAAAATTGGACTAGCAATAGGTAGAAATCAGTTGAAGCAACTTGCAGGCATGAATAAGAAACTAGAATGCTGAGCTGTGTTGTTTACATCTATAGTCTAATGCCATTTGAAGGAGACATTATTTTAATTAAAATACAAAATCTACATTCAAAGCTTGTTTGACTAGGGTAGCTTTCTGGGTGAGGTAATACCTTTATTAAACGCCTGGCTTAAACCCAAATGGTAACTGCTGATTCTGCAACTTCTCACGGAATTTGTTGTAACTGGCTCTTTTTTCCCCCCACTTCTCTTAGGATGAGCCTAGGGTTTTAGAGCAACCAATAGTAGTGCAAACCATTGGCACAGATGGTCGTGTTTTCCAATTCGTGGTATTCCAGTTAAATACAACAGAGTTTGCCTCTAATGATGGTGTTAAAAACCTAGTCTGGATTGACTCTGATCAGTTGATGTATGAATATGCCCAGCGTATTCCGTCTATCAAGAAGAAAGTTGTTACGGTGAGTTGACAGGACAGAGGGCTAGTTTCACAGAATCAGAGTTCACAGAAATTCTACCCTTCTCCATATATTTGAGATTTGGGAGCTGGCACAGATAACAGCTATCAGAGTCACTTGTTTGAGACAGGCCAACAGCTTCCCTCTATTTATGGAGAATTCGTATAGAATACTAAGTCTCTTGTCTTGTGGTGGATGGCTATCAGTACTGTTTGTGCTTTGCATGGTTTATTAAGCTACTTAAGCTTATTATAAGCTATACCATATAAACAACTTACATAGATGCGGAGTTTTATGATGTGCTTATTGAAGATAAAGTTGCTTGCACAGTTATTTCACTGATGTTACAACTGTCAGCATTAATATAAAGTAAATAAAAAGTATAGTTCTGTTGAGTCCACTTTGACTAAAACACTCTGATGGATGGGGACTTCATACCACTTGAGATGAATGCCAGTGAAATTATACCCACAAACCATCTCAGCATGTTTCCCATGCTACCAGACTTGAAGTGGTATTTGCGCATATTTAAATTTGTTTTTTCTACTCTGTTTACTGCAGACTCAGTAACCAAGTCTTTTCTCTGCAGGTGCCTGCTGGAATACATGGCTATGACCCAGACACATTCAAGAAGTTTCTGGCACTCTATTTACATGGAGCAGTATAAAATCCTAGTTGAGCAAAAATCCTTCAAGTTTACCTGCCATTTACTCTTTCATCAGACGATCATGTAGTGAAGCAAGTGACATAATATACCTTGAATAATTTAAGGATTTAAACAATGTTTGTTTTTTTTAATAAAGATTTTGTAGTAAGTGGTGCAGACAAACGCCCCCTTTTCAGTTACTTACCTGTAACTTCACACCATTCTGTACATGTGCAGTAAGTTAGTGAAGCCAGGTGCCAAAATGCTTCCTCTCCGCTTTCCCCTGGCCGCCTAGAGGGAACGCAAAAAACGATTAATGGTTTCTTGCTTATTGTTTGCAGAAGCAGAGACCCATGTAGGCCAACACCTGTGCACAGAATTTGTTTTGAAAGAGATCCTGGACTCAAACATGGCTCAGCAACCTTGTAGGAGCAGTGGGCCAAATAAGAGACGGCCTGAAGCTGGGCCTCTATCAACTCCCCTGCCACCAAATCAGCTTTGCATACCAGATGCAATTAAGTGGCAGGCTGGATCTGGCGCTCGGCCCTCAGGTTGTTGATGACTCCTTCTGCAAAGGTAGAAAATAGCTTCTAATTACATAATGTACAGGTACTCCTCACTTAACATCATCCCAGTTAACGTTTCATTATTACATTGCTGCTCTATTAGAGAACATACTTGTTTAAAGTCTTGCAATGTTTGGTTATAACATTTGGCCACCACCTGCTAGTTGGGTAACTACTGTGATGTAGTTGGATTCGCTTAACGCTATTTTCCTTAAAGTTGCATTTTTCAAGAACGTAACTATGACATTAAGCAAGGAGTAGCTGTATTATGTACAGAACTCAGTCTTAAACTTTGCAGTCTCATAGGATAAGGGCTCTTCATAATCCTACACTGACTTTATTTATTTGGATAGTTGAGTGCTTGGCTCCTTTTTAGTCATAGTTAGAATATTACTTGCAACCTTGGAGTTCCTTCAGAGCCAAAGCACTTCATTTTGTTCAAGACTGAAGTTACTAGTAAGAGACCTGTAAGCCTTTGCAAAGCAATGCAGAAGTTTGGTGCCAAAAGGGTTTCAGCAGAGGAACAGAGAAACTCTCAGTCTACCCTTACCTCAAGGGCAGGCTCTTTGCTTTGAAGACAGAACCCTAGATCAGCTAAAAGTGAGTTGAGATGAGAGAGGTATTCTTACATAAAAAGCAGACCAGGTTATTAGTGCTCAGTTGGTATTTGCATGTCCTCTATAATTTTACAAAATATGAATCAGTAGACTGGTCTTAGCTAAACGGTGTAAACACATCACTATCAAATCTGGGCAGCAGGGGGATGAGTGGCAGCCATACTTGAATGCAAGGCAGCAGTGGAAGACTTAAAGGGGTGGGGTTGGTCAGTGAAATAAAAATGGCAGAATATGGAGCTGGTTAAGTGGCACCTCCAGTGCAACAGAACTGAGCAAGGAGAAAGGCTCAGACTTTCACCTGATGAGTATGGCTTCATGTGGCAAGTTAATCCACTGTACAGGGGGAAAGAAGGTGGGGGGAAAGGCTGATGTAGCAACTGATGGATTTTTCAGGAATTGGGTCTCCCTCGTCTGAGGGGTAGGTGCTTTTTGCTTTTTTAATTTCTGCAGTTCTGAATTTAAATTACTCATTACATTTGGTAAATGGAGCACAGGTAGTATGCTAAAGATTTCTGTATATTTCTGCATACTTCAGTGCTCTGCCCAAAGCTGCATTAACACTTCATTTGTAATTATTTCAGGCTTTGCAACTCTTCTGGGATAAATTAGCATGTAAATGGACAATGAAATTAAATTGATCTGGCACTTACTGTACAGGTGGATAAGAATCCCATATCCTTCTAGCTGTGGGCTGGTGGTAACCTTGTCTGTGTAGGCTAGGACAATGGGGGCCAACCTTTTTTGGCAGGTATGCAACAAATTAGCCCTGCACCCTCCAAATGCCCCATGTGCTGCTCTGCTTTAACCCTGACCCTGCCACTGTGCTGTGTGTCTGCCACAGGTTACCCACAGAGGCTGCCTGTGTCACTTGTGGCATTTTTGCCTCAGGTTGGCAATGTCTGGTCTAAATTATAAGAATGAGGCAGAGTCTATATCCACCAGAGCAGGTTGCCAGGGGGCAGCTTCAGCTCCCCTATTCTTTGCCTCAGTTCTCTACAGAGTGAGCATAATATGCTCTCCCAGCTGTATCGATTGTCTCTAAGTTACAAGTTTTGGGATGGGCGGTGCTGGGTGTAATGAAGTACCTACCGTGGTTGATGCTGCTGCCATAATTGGCCTCTGAGCCATGCTTTCTTACCCAATTTTGCCAGTTGCTTAGGCATTCTGCCTCTGATGCAGCTGCCTGTACCCAAATAAAGAGGTGAATAGCTTCTAGCCCAAAGTTACACATTTTACTAACGCCCTGGGTCAGTCCTCAAATGTAGCAGGGGATGGAGTGTTTTCAAGGTTCAGAATCAAGGGAATTTGTGCACAGCAGGGTATGACTTTGGAAAGCAGTCTGTACTTGGTTATCTCATATGTCCACCTGGATAAAACCTGCAGTGGTGAGCTGAGAACCACATCCACTGGGCTCTTAACCACTTCCTTCCAATAGCTGCATAGCCTTGGCACCTAGATACGGTGACTCTGTGTGGAAACAGCTACCCCGCAGAGCCCAGCAAAGAGACACGTACAGAGGCAAGCTTTAGAACGGCGATCCTCTAAGCTTCCTCCTGTCTGATAAGTGGTGGATGTAGCTTAGCCACTCTGAAGCACTGTCATTGCCTTCACTTGGACACGCTCTAACCTGCTGTGAAATGTTGCTTCTTCAAACCCCATTCAAGCAGGGCCTGGATTTCCAAATGCTTGGGCACTGTGGGCTGTGAATGGGAAATGGGCAAGAAAGCATTGGGTCACAGCACAGGGCAGAGACTGGATTACTAGCAAAGGTAGCAAGGATTTTAACTGGTGGGACTAAGCTGGAGGTACGTGCAGCTGGCAATCTCACGTTTCAGGAGTATATTTGCTCACTAGCAGCAATGTTGGCACTACTTGGCATAGCCAGGGTCTCAGTGCCAGCAGTGTTTGCCCAGAAAGTTGATCATCTTACCACTGAGAGTCCATCTCATCCAAGCTAAGGTGCTTCACTTACTTCTGGTCCTCTGAGGGATGGGGTGGCAATGACTCCTGTGCATTTAAACCATAATCTCTACATAGATACAATGTCCCTTCCCAACCCTTCTGTCTGCAGGCCAAAAAACCTTTATATGCACTTAGGATAGAAGTGATGCCCCTCTTCCAGGATTACTGCCTCTGAGGCCCTCTCTACTTGTTACGTGTATCATGCAATTAACTGGTTAACTCCACAATCATTTGGACTGGCTACACCTGCAAAGTATCTATTATACCATAAGAAGGCCCATCCAGCTATACTTAGAGCTGGAAAATATGTAATAACTTTATAGCTGGTTCCTATCCAGTTTCGATTTGCACATGTTGCCTGCGCCCCCGTGGCTGGGAGCCCTGTCATCCATGGGGGGTGTGCCAAGTGCTGCTGTGGCTGTGAGTCCCACAGGTGTTGGGATGTGGGGTGCTGCCATGGCCAAGCATTCTGTCAGCTGCAGGACTTGCAGCTGTGGGAGTTTGCTACTTGCCAGTGCAGGGGGAGCCTGGGATGGGGAGCCTAGGTATCCCCCTGTACCAGCACTAAGGCGTGATTGGATCTGAAGCTGCATCCCACAATTGAGCCTCCTGCCATGTACGAGTGACATGGCAGGAGGCACAATTGTGTGATTTGCACATCAGATCCTATCACACCATTACCTGAACATCTGGAGGGGCCCTGAGAGTTACCCAGGTAAGGGGAGGGGCTCTGGATACCACATTGGAGAGAAGCTGAGTGAACCTAAAGCAGTGCCTTCTCTTTTGGGAAGACAGGGACCAGAGAACAAGCCAGAATTTGGAGGTCCCTGGCTCAATAGTGAACAGAAAGAACAGAACCCACCAGTGTTTCAAAGCGGGGGGAGATGGTCTGGTTACTGAGCACCAGACGAAGGTTGCAGGAAGACTCACAGGAGCTATTTGACAGAGTGCGCTCTAGGCTGGAACAGGCGGTCAGGCTGGTCTGGACAAAAAAGTTTGGAGCGTAGCTTGCTCCTCTGTCTACCTAGACAGGGCAGGAGAGCTAGCGTGAGCACAAACTCTGGGTTGGCCAGCATTCTCCAAAGTGTAGTGCAGAGCCATCCTAAGACACGCATGGTCCATATCCAGCGTTGTCACACAGCCAAACAGGCAGGGGCTGGGTTCCTGGAACGGCAGCAAGTCATCTTAAAAGTTCCATAGAGAAACAACCTGTCACATGTATGACATCTGTATAAACTAGACAGACAGGTGTAGAGCAAACCTACTGCTGTAACCAGAGTTGCAGTTATTGCCTGAAGAATGACTGCATCACTTCCATGAAAGGCTTTTGTGTCTCAGTTTACCCACTTGTTTTTGAATGGTGGTCCTCTGGGACTGAAGGGGTTAATTTATTCTCTGGGTGCATGTCTGGGTTGGAAGAGCGTGTAAACAGTGATTGCATGGTTCACTAAATCCAGGCATATATGAATACGGACTAAACTATGAACTTTACTGTGGAGCAGTAGGCAACCTCTGCAGACCACTGGTCTTCCCCCGCCCCGACTGGCTGGTTAGCTGCTCCCTAACTGAGGGACCACCTGTCACTGAAAACTCCCTCAGTGTCTTGTTAGGGAGCATCTCTACATTGTAACTCCCGTTACTACTGAAACAACGTGCCAGCAGCCCACGAATAGGATTACGTCTGTGCAGACATGGAAGACCCATGCGTGGGGGGCAGCTTGTAACAACCAACAGTGGAGGGGAAACAGCATGTGCAGAGGTTGCGATGAACTAGTGAGGTGTCTGGACTGGGATACGAACCTGGCTGCAAGTGCAGGGAGAGAGATGAGGTCCGGGATATTTTAGGCCAAGGAGGAAGGCAACGGTGGCAGCAGAGAACGTGAAGCCCTATGTTTCCGCGTTAAGCAAAGGCATTCAAAAGATGGTACTCCGCTCAACTGGGAAGAACTGGTTTCCGGAGCACTGCGATGTGTCACTGCAAACACCTGGGTCTGGGACA